TCTCCTCGTGAAACAGGATCTGACAGCAACCCAAGTCCTGCTTCCCTTATTCCCATCTTGCCAATATTGAAGAATGGTGGGAAGATCACTGAGTGAGCTTAACAGATGGTCTTGCACTTCCCATATTGCTTCAGGTTGCATTAATCTCTGCGGTGGGTTCTCATTTGGCTGAGAAAATGTCACCAAAACAAATGAACCGGAGCAGGCTGATACACGATCAGCAGATGTAGAGAATCACTTCTGTATGTTGTAGATAGAGGCAAGCAGTCAGCATCCTCAGTTGTCTGTTCCCTGCAGCCCCTCCAAAACTAATCAAAGATCCCACTGGCTGAGATGGAAGTATAAATGCCTCAAATCAGCACAGACTATGAACAAAGAAATTGGTAGAAACAGAGAACATGGGTGGTGGCAGTAAAGAGAGGTGACAGAGCTTGGACAGAAGAGTCCAAGCTGTCAGGGAACAGGGACAAAGCAGGGGTCAGACTACAAAAGGGATATAGTCACATGTTGGAAGAGCTGCCTTGGAGATGGGCATGTGTCGTGGTTTAACCCCAGGCAGCAGCCAAGAACCACACAGCCTCTCACTCACTCCCCCACCAACAGGATGGGGGAGCGAATTAGAAGGATAAAAGCTACAAAAACTCATGGGTTGAGATAAAGACAGTTTAATAGAGAAAGCAAAAGCTGCACACACAAGCATAGCAAAACAAGGAATTAATTCACTGCTTCCCGAAGACAGGAGGTGTTTAGCCATCTCCAGGAGAGCAGGGCCCATCACGCGTAACGGTTCCTTGGGAAGACAGACGCCATCACTCCAGATGTTCCCCCTTCCTCCTTCTTCCTCCCACCTTATATACTGAGCATGATGCCATATGGTATGGAATATCCCTTTGGTCAGTTTGGGTCACCTGTCCCAGCTGTGTCTCCTCCCAATCTCCCATGCATCCCCAACTTCCTTGCCAGCATGGCAGTACGGAAAGCAGCAAAGGCCTTGCCTCTGTGTAAGCTCTGCTCAGCAATAACAAAAACATCTCTGCATTATCAACTCTGTGTTCTGCACAAAACCCAAACATAGCCTCATACAAGCCTCTATGAAGAAAGTTAACTCTACTTCAGCTCAAACCAGCACAGCATGATTCATTTCTGTCCATGAAACCATTCATCAAACCCCTGCCTGCAAATGCATTCTCATTTCAAGAACATGCCAGTACTTATACTTTCCTTGCACCTTCTTCTGGTTCCTGAACCAATGTAATCCTTCCAGACTATGAGGGCCAGGAAAACAAAATGATGCTTTGTTGGGCTTGCTGACAGCATCCGCAAAAAAGGACAGGGAAGCAGCAAAGGAACCAACTGGGATTTGGTGCATTCAGCAATTCCATTATTCCAGAAGAGGCAGAGTGTACTACAGCATGAGATGATGTCATGTAACAGAGGACACTAAGCACCTCAGCTTAAAGTATTAAAATAGACTTAGGATTGCCAAAAGTTCCTTAACAGTTCCATAAAGTAAAGAGGGAATAAATTTGAGGTGAATGGAAGGTAAGGAAAACTTCAGGTCACACAAACATAATTTCAGAGAATGCAGGAATACAAAGCAAATACAATCGTCATTTTCCTTTAATTAGTCTGTCCTTGAACACTGTCCCAACACACCAACCATTACATCTGCTAGGATTTTCTCATTACAGCTGCTAAAACCAGGAGATGGAGCAGACAAACATTGCAACAGCAAAACTGAACAGGTATCATCCCAAAGCTGGCCACAGTCAGTGGGCCTGATTTAAACCAACTGCCCAGATGACCCAAGTACCACCCAGACTGCTGTGCTGCCACACAAAACATACTCCTGCTCTGCCTTCACTGCACTCAGGAGGTCATGTGTGTTAACAGATGGGCTACAACATGCACCCACACTGACACCACTCACCTATGTGGTACTGAATGGGGGCCACTCTATCTCTGGGGGCTCACAGACCCCTCTCATCAGCTCTCACCAATAACTCACCAGCTCATCCCTCCAATGCTCCACCAGCAATAGCACATGAAGCCAGAGCTCTTGTATCACCCCACACCAAGGAGGCAGGGAGCAGCACATTCAGATTCACCACACTACAGCCACTCAGAGACTGGCTAGATACCATTTGACAACACATTTTGCTTTACTGCATAAATTTGATGCAATGTAATTTCCATTTATATGTGTACTCTGTTGGCCAGAGCAGCTTTCCGGTTTTCATCAAGCAGACAAAGGGTTTAAACTCTATAAAAGGTGGCTGATATTTAAGTTTTAATAAAAATATATTTCACGTATGTCAGTCTTTCCTTAGGCTGACCTAGCCTACGATATATTATTTACATAACTGCTGCAATATCTATTTCAAAACTGACTAGACAGCCCTCTCCAGAACTGTAGGCTGCTCTGCCTGTCACCATGATGGGTAAACAGTGTCACCTTTTCACAGCCGGGTGAAATATAGAGGAGTAGTAAAGTGCACCATCCATCACAATGGCACTAAGTAGGTTTTTGAAGTAGATTTCAGATCACAAATACTCACATTTTCACTCACAAATGCTGTTTAGACTGTTACCAGAAAGCACAAATTGGATGGCTCATACAGAATGGCCATATGATGAATGGACATGACAGGTGGTCAAAGAAAATGAGTCTTGCTGTTCTACAAATAACCTTGTCAACATGAAAGTAGAGCTGTAGCTCTGCTGGTATCCAGACTGCAATAGCTTAATGGTTTTATTTGTTTGAACTTCTATCAAACCTAATAGACAAATGAGATACAATGAAGCAGCAGCATCAAAGCAGTATTAGCAATTCAACCTGATTAGGTGCCACATAATAAGAATATTCTGCTAAGGATGTGTCGCATTGGAAAGAAAATTATTCAGATTATGAGTATCTGTTATAAAAATACCTTTCCACAGGAAAACCCTCACGATTTTGCAATCACAACCCACTGCAGGATATTCAAAATATGCAACTTTTAATTCCACTGCAAGCAATCAAGTCACTTTCTGATGGCTGAACCCAGCAACAGCCACCGCCTGCTACTTGTCATTTAAAGTTTTTCTACTTCCATTAGTTTAAATAGTAGAGATTAGTGCGTAGGACTGAAAGTCAGGAAGGTTAGATCATTACCAATTTATCTGTAGCCTAAACAAAAGGGAAATTACCCTTTTAGGCAAAACTCTCTACGTAAGGACATTTCTGGTAGACTTTTTGAAGAATAAAAGAAAACATGAAGTTTTGCAAGGGTGCTAGTAATCCCAAAGAATTGACTGTAAAACTGTGCACAGAAAAACATTATTTGGCTCAAGTACAAGTTTGGAGTTGTGCCAAAGCCAAGGTCCAGCCCTTGTGATGAATACAGTGTGTGTGGTCCTCGTTTCTGATGAACTCATAGAGAAAACTGCCCTGAAACATAACAGAAAGTGGTACATGCGCTGCTGGTAATAACATCAGTGATTTTTCCCGGAACATTGGATTTTCTTTAATCTGATGAATTTGTTAGCAACGCATTGATTTTCATGAAATAAAACCTCAAAGGTCACAACTGTACTTTTATCTCATTACAGTTACTCTTATTAAGTTACAATGAGAAAATAATATTAAATATTGAGTTTTTAAGTGATATGAGAAGGCAAACCCATTCATTAGTACTTTTTATTCTCCCATGGAAAAGTTAAAGCATATATCATGCAGGTTAGGACATACTCTTGCCTACTTCATTTCACTTCTTAAGAACAAACTCTGAAGTGGAGTGGATAGAACCCCAGAACAGAGGTTCAAGAGACTCAGTATGGAAAGTAGGCATGGTCAGTACACTAAAACAGCAGATGGGGAGAAGTCTTTCAGCCAAAGAAGAACAAGAACTCCATTCCTTCTCATTTCTGGGGCTAAAAAGTTTCAATGCTTTTAGGAAGATGAAGGTTGCTGACTTCAGGTTGAAAAACTCAAAGATCTGACTTTCTACCAGCCTTCTTATTTCCCACAGTCCAAATTTCAGAATTAGATTACTAGCCCATCCAAAGGCATTTACAATCTGTTCCTTTATAGTCTATTAGCGTTCTGAGTTATGAAAACAAACATGTTTTAAATACAAAGGAAACCAAGATGGAAACCCCCCTGCATCACTGGAATAATATATGGTATTTTAGAAAGGAGAAAGACAACAATAATGCAGTTATCAGTGAAATTGTGATTTTTATATTTCAGAAATATTTATTGAGATTTATACTATCTCAGCTAGGAATGTAAACAGAAATGATAACCCCTTTGTGTGCCCCCAATATATCTGGAAAGAAACGAGAGGAAAGCAGACAGTGAAGACAGTAAACAGGATAAAACAAGATAATCCAAGATCTTATTTCACCTGGCAAGTAACAAATCCCAATAGGCAGAATATTTTCACTGACAAAACTTCCTAACAAAAGCTACAGTAAGATAAAACTACAAATCGGGGTTTTCAAGAGGAAACCGAGCATATGTGTCAACTGAGTTGTCATAAAGGAAAGTATGTGAGATCCACTACCATAGTTCAGGAGCTCCAGGTATTAGCCCAGCACTCCCACCAGCCTCAATGCAGAAAACCTCATCTTACCGTGCCTAAGGCATCCCTCAAACCAGGAGCACTTACAAAAAAGCAAGGATAAGGTGTGGCTCTAGACACAGCTTTCAGGTCTCTATATCCAAAAAAGGCCAATTCATAAACTCATATTATGTTTTTCAAAAATATCATATGAAGTCTTCCATTCTGACTAGTTTTTAAGTTTGAATTAAGATGGGCAGCATCATATTTTACTTAAATATGTATATTTTAAGGCTGAGCATTTCACCATGTTAATGATTACACTCGACAATCTTAGAGGTCTTATCCACCCTACATGACTCTGTGATTCTCTGTAATTTTCCAGTTAAGTTCAACAAAAGATGATGTTTTCTAACTCTATTTCACCACAAATGACAGAGAAAAAGGTCACATTACCTCAAGAGTTCCTTTGGCAGAGTAAGCTGCATATGAGTATAGGAGGTCGTGGCTATGAAATGTTTTGGGGTCTCTGCTGCACTGTTCTCCACTTGGATAGAAGCATTCACCACTGCTTTTCAGAGTTACTGTGTTTGAAGAAGAGCTTGGTAGGTCAAGCAAAACAGAGTAATTTACCAGCCGGACATCTTCAAGGCCTTGGGAATGCCACTGAACCAGAATTTTCATTGCAACGTCTACATCATCTTCTCCAGGGAACTGTAACAAATCTCTGGAAAAAACACACAAGTAAACACAAGTTTAGTTTATTTCCCACCAAGACACTTGTACTTTAGTATGCATTGGTGCGTAATTTTATTCATTATATATCATTGAATATGCAATAATGCACCTATCCCCCATTTTTTAAAAATAATTCCAGAGCAATTATGTAACAAAAGCAATCACTTTTTTGGAGAAAAAAACGAGAAAAAATTATGTATAGGGAACACGTCCAACTGAAATAAAGAATCCGTCAGAAACTTTCACAGCAACTGTTTCAAAATTCATATATCTGATGCTAATCAAGTTTCTGACAGAGCATCAATTTAACCAGTCCTTAAATATGAAGAATACAATCTGAAGTAACATTTCAGGGGCTTCAGAAAGGGATGATGCTGAAAATTAATTATATGTTCGACTTAAATTCATCAAGTAAAGCAAATTTACTAAGCAGAATGAAACTGTTTCTCCAAATATTGTACTCTCTGTCAGGATGCCTTCTTCAGATTTCCTACCTGCACTGAAGGATTACCTGAGCCACCAGCTGGGCAAGCACACAAGACAAACCTGGAAATTATTTTGGCAGTACCTACTGATGGGCAAACTGAGAAGTCAGATGGGTTGATCTGGGCTTGTATCACTGCGTTTGCACCACTGTTCAAAACTTGCTGCTGGATGGGACACAGGATTAAGGCACTGAAGGACCACCTTCATCCCCAGCAAATGCCAAAAAATTTGAGATTTTGAATCTACTTTAATGATAACTTTAGAAGACAGCCATGCTGAAGGGACAACTAAAGGCTTTCCCTGCTTATGTAGCCAAGCAGCCATGTAAGCAAAGCAGGACAGAAATAAAATGCATTCTTATTCAAATGAAAAAGGAAATGTAGCACAAAAAGCTCATGGAATATTTGCTGAATTTTGTGAGGATTTTTTGTGCATGTGTTTGTATGAAGCTCTCAGAACTGAGAAACAAGATTAAGGATCACAGAGGTATTGATTTCCAGCACAGAGATACTGACACTGCCTAAAACTCTTGTCCACAACCTTCTTTTCACAAAAAGGCCAATTAAATTTAGCTGCTTTAAGGTCCTTAACAGAACTTCAAAAAACACCCTGGGTGTCTTGCCCACATCAAAAAGCAATGGTTGAATGACATAGTCTTTTTAAGCAAGCAATAGGTATTTGATAATCCCACCAAGTACTTTCCATGCACCCCTGCAATATTCAGGACCCAGCTGTGATGCTACAAGTGGGATGCTGTGGTGGGATCCATGTATCACCACTACTTCTAGAAGAGTCTGCATTAACCCCAGGGATAACCTCACCAAGGAAAGCTTATGCTGGAAATCAAGCACAAAGCCTTCCTTCTCCAACAAAACTACGTTGTGGTTGAGCAGACCTTTAAAAACCAAACATTTACTGCCTAGAAAACATCAAATCCTTAGAAAGGTAAAAAGTTGTTATAACACCTATTACAGCCTAAAAATGGCTCAAAAATGGTACACTGCATTCAAATATGTTATGTTCATCATTGCATTACACAGGCAAAATAATTATTTTAGCATCCGAAGAACACTGGACTTATGTTGAAGACTTCAAGGATCCTGTCAGGAAGAATAACTGTCTTGCAGATTTAATTCTTTTAAATTACCAAAATAAGTCTTCAAGCAGTCTGCACCAAACAGATGAGTTAATCCAATCTGCAGTATATTACAAGTTTCCAATTTCATCTCCTCTGCCTGCTAATGTAATGACATAAACTTGGGCAGTGGAGAAATACAGAAAGTTGTTTGATTAACACAATCATTAACAGAATATCTGCATTTCCCTCAGGTAACAGAAACATTAATAGAATAAATAATTGAAGAAACTTAGGCCAATAAGGTTATGGCACATTGTAACAAGAAGTATTCAGCTGCAATAAAAAGAATCCAGCATAAAAGAGGAAGACACAATAAGCAAATTGCTCCCTCAGTAATAGAAGAAAAGTTACTTTTCATTTCATAATTAAATAAGCATGTCTTTGAAACTTTTGTGACAACATATCTGATTGAGTTACAGATATGAGCACACTCACTATTTACTCCATAATGTCTTTATAGCATGCTAAAATCAAATTGCAAATTATGAGCACACATTATATTACAATAAATCAGCACGTATTAGACTACTCTGATAAATCATATGAACAGCATCAGAAAGTTGTTTTTTTCCAGATTTGTTATAATCACTGACTTGCATTTGCCTTTCATGTTGACTGTGTGAACTTAAAGTCAGAGGTAATTGAACTAATTTTTTGACATACTGATTGTTTAACAAGCATAACACGTGAAAATAGTATTTCCTAAACCCAGCCAAATTCAGAGATGTGTAAAATTTGGCAGTTCACCCTGGAAAAGTCCCAACACAGCACATGCACTTCACAGTCCTTCTCTACAAATTCTCAACATACTTCCCAAAATTTCCAGGGCTCAGAGACTCAGAGTAGTAAGATTTAAGCAGTGGAGAGAAACAGGCCCTCGGGATGATGATATTTTTCAGTTCTACAAGCGGCTGCAATGCTCAGTAGGAATCAATAGCAATGCAATTGCCAATTTCCATTTACAATACTGCCTTTAATAACTTCAGCCAAATTTTTTTATTCCCTTGCTCACATTAAAAAGATATTTTATTCAGGTACTTTTCCAGGTTCAGTCAATGGGAATAACCACAGCGTTAATGGGCACATCTCAGCTGCTGTAAATCTACATAATTTAGTGAAGTAGAGCCACCACAGACTTAAAATTTGATCTTAAGTTAGAATCAACACTAATAAATATAACAATAACAGTCTGAACACTACTGTGCTTTTATAGGATGCTCTCAAAGAGATTTCCACAAATTACTAGCCTTTACTTTCTAATACAGATCAGATATTGAATTAAAGTACATCAGAACAGGACAAACTCATTTCATGAGCATTCTGCTCCACCTCAAATATACTCAGTTCCTGAACTGATAAAAACCAGATAAAATTGCACTTAAAACTCAGAAAGTACGTCCTACTTCACTTGAATAAGATAAAATTTTCCCACTTTGATACGATAAGATCAAAGAAATGTTTATGAAGACACATTCTTAGATTTCCTGTGTAAATGAGAAGTCCATCAAAGCGGAGCATACTACCACCACTGAAGATTCAAAGTCTACAGCTAGGAAAAGAATTTGAAATATGACTAAGATATACCTGTAATAAAGCCAGGTGTTCTTCAGCTTCAAAAGACCATTCATTAACAGATGAATATAAAAGACAAATGAATGCACTCACACACAATATACACAAATTTCATTTCTAATTTGGTAACAATGGGGAACAAGGACCTGGCACAGATTAATGGAAAGTCATCTGTGACAACAGCACTTTTTTTCACAGCTTGCTAAGGGAGAGAACGAGGTATTGCAAATAAGCCAGCTCCTCATTGCTGGTGATATACTGAGACACTGTGAAACACAACTCAACTGATACTGAAAAACTGCAATAGGTCACTCTAACAACCAAAAGATGGAATAATTTAACTGCATGACATAAGTAATTCTCAGATAATC